ATTTTTAAAAGGCAGAGTAAGTAGGTTACTCCCAGGGTTGTTTCCTGAACTCTGTTCCATGCATAAGGCTACTCAGGAGAATGAGACATGCTGGGTGAGTGCAGGACTGTCAATGATTTCATGCCCAGGAAAACACGAAGAGCTATCAATGAATATTTAATCTCAAAACTCTAGCCCATGCAATGGTATCTCCCTCACTGTTTTTCCTGGCAGTTTTATTTATTTGTGTTTTTGAATGTTGGCAAATGTCATCTTATAATTTTCTAAAACTACTGTCAGAGGGCTAAGTCCCTGAATTTGGAAGTCTAATGAGTTCTTTGTGCACTGAATAGCAGATTTTGAATGAATGCCAAAAACTGCATAAAATTTGGAAGAAGGAGAACAAGTCCTCTCCCCTGTGTGTTCTTCAGCGTTCACGCTAAGTGCCTGGAGAGGAATGCCACTTGAGAGTCTGATTAATAATCCTGAATTACCATAAAACACTGCTAAAGTGAGGTTCAATTAAAAGCCGCGTGTCTGTATCTGGTGTTGGAGCACTGGGAAGAAAATACTTTTCAAAATTAACTGCCCAATAATGAACAAAGCTACTTGCTTTTCCAGAAACTAATTAACAATTTATATTAAAATTACTCATACATTTGGACTGGTTTTAAAGAATACATTTTAACTTCTATAAACATATAAAAAAATAATTCCAAATTAGTTCGTAATTCTGACTTAAAAATCAGAGCTCCTGGGCTTAAGAACCAGTTTAGAAAGCCAATTATTCCTAAAGAGCCCAAATTTTCAAATCTCTCAAATATGGTTGGCAAGTCTCAGGGTCTCATGAACGAATGAGTGAATGACTCTGCCTATGTTAGGCACAGTAAAGGCCTCCACAAAAATATTCACATCTTCAGAGCCTGTGAATGTCACATGGCAAGGGGACTTTGCAGATGCAATTCAGGCTTGTAAGATGGAGGTCATGGGATGACCCAGAGGGCCCAGTGTCATCACAGGGGCCTCCATAAGGCAGAGAGTGGGAAGGAGAGCCAGGGTCACAGTGAGATTTGGAGATGCTGCACTGCTGGCTGTGAAGACGGAGGAAGCAGAGGAGCCAAGGCACCCAGGTAGCCTGTAGAATCCAGAAAAAGCAGGAAACAGATTGTCCTCCGAAATTTCTGGAAAGAATGCAGTCCTGCCGATACTTGATTGTAGTCTAGTGCAGCCCATTTTAGACGTCCTACCTCGAGAATTATAAAATAGTAAGTCTGTGCTCTGCAGTAGACAGCTCAATGAAACAGAAATTAATGCGGATATTCAGAACTTTAACTCAGCTCTGGACCAAGCAGACCTAATAGACATCTACAGAACTCTCCACCCCAAATCAACCGAATATATATTCTTCTCAGCACTACATTGCACTTATTCTAAAATTGACCACAAAATTGAAGTAAAACACTCCTCAGCAAATGCAAAATAATGGACATCAAAACAAATAGTCTCTCAGACCACACTGCACTCAAATTAGAACTCAGGATTAAGAAACTCACTCAAAACTGCACAACTACATAGAAACTGAACAACCTGATCCTGAATGACTACTGAGTAAATAAGAAAATTGAGGCATAAATAAATAAGTTCTTTGAAACCAATGAGAACAAAGACACGACATACCAGAATCTCTGGGACACAGCTAAAGCAGTGTTTAGAGGAAAATTTATAGCACTAAATCCCCACAGGAGAAAGTGGAAGAGATCTAACATTGACACCCTAACATCACAATTAAAAGAACTAGAGAAGCAAGAGCAAACAAATTCAAAAGCTAGCAGAAGACAAGAAATAACTAAGATCAGAGCAGAACTGAAGGAGATAGAGACATGAAAAATCCTTCCAAAAAAAATCAATGAATCCAGGAGCTGGTTTTTTGAAAAAAAATAACAGATAGACTGCTAGAGAGACTAATAAAGAAGAAAGGGGAAGAATAAAAGAGACACAATAAAAAAAGAGAAAGTGGAGATCACCACTGATCCCACAGAAATAAAAACTACCATCAGAGAATATTATAAACACCTCTACGCAAATAAACTAGAAAATCTAGAAGAAATGGATAAATTATTGGACACACACACCCTCCCCAGACTAAACTAGGAAGAAGTTAAATCCTTGAATACATCAATAACAAGTTCTGAAATTAAGGCAGTAATTAATAGCCGACCAACCAAAAAAATCCCAGGATCAGACAGATTCACAGCCAAATTCTACCAGAGGTACAAAGAGGAGCTGGTACCATTCCTCATGAAACTATTCCAAACAATAGAAAAAGAGAGACTCTTCCCTAACTCATTTTATGAGGCCAGCATCATCCTGAAACCAAAACCAGGAATAGACACAATAAAAAAAGAATATTTCAGGCCAGTATCCCTGATGCACACCAATGCAAAAATCCTCCATAAAATACTGGCAAACCGAATCCAGCAGCACATCAAAAAGTTTACCCACCACAATCAAGTCAGCTTCATCTCTGGGATGCAAGGCTGGTTAAACATATGCAGATCAACAAATGTAATCCATCACGTAAAGAGAACCAGTGACAAAAACCACGATTATCTCAATAGATGCAGAAAAGACCTCTGATAAAATTCAACACCTCTTCATGCTAAAAATTCTCATTAAACTAGGTATTGATGGAAGGTATCTCAAAATAATAACTATTTATGATAAACCCACAGCCAGTATCATTCTGAATTGGCAGAAGCCGGAAGTATTCCTTTTGAAAACAAGCACAAGACAAGACGTCCTCTCTCATTCAAAATAGTATTGAAAGTTCTGGCCAGGGCAATCAGGCAAGAAAAAGAAAGAGTATTCAAATAGGAAGAGAGGAAGTCAAATTGTCTCTCTTAGCAGATAACATGATTGCATATTTAGAAAACTCCATCATCTCAGCCCCAAATCTCCTTTTTTTAAAAAAATATATATTTTATTGCATTTTAGGTTTGGGGGTACATGTAAAGAACATTCAAGATTGTTGTATAGGTACATATATGGTAATGTGGTTTGCTGCCTTCCTCCCCATCACCTATATCTGGCATTTCTTCGCATGTTATCCCTCCCCAACTCCCCACCCACTGCTGTCACTCCCCTAGTTTCCCCCCACAGACCCCAATGTGTAGTGTTCCCCTCCCTGTGTCCATGTGTTCTCATTGTTTAACACCCACCTATGAGTGAGAACACGTGGTGTTTGATTTTCCGTTCTTGTGTCAGTTTGCTGAGAATGATGGTTTCCAGGTTCATCCATGTCCCTACAAAGGAAACGAACTCATCATTTTGATGGCTGCATAATATTCCATGGTGTATATGTGCCACATTTTGCCTGTCCAGTCTATCATCGATGGGCATTTGGGTTGGTTCCAGGTCTTTGCTATTGTTAACAGTGCTGCAATGAGCATTCGTGTGCATGTGTCCTTACAATAGAACAATTTATAATCCTTTGGATATATACCTAGTAAAGGGATTGCTGGGTCAAATGGAATTTCTATTTCTAGGTCCTTGAGGAATCGCCACACTGTCTTCCACAATGGTTGAACTAATTTACACTCCCACCAACAGTGTAAAAGTCTTCCTATTCTTCCTTAAGCTGATAAGCAACTTGAGCAAAGTCTCAGGATACAAAATCAATGTGAAAAAATTATAAGCATTCCTGTACACCAATAACAGACAGAGAGCTAAATCATGAGTGAACTCCCATTCACAATTGCTAGAAAGAGAATAAAACACCTAGGAATACAACTTACAAGAGATGTGAAGGACCACTTCAAAGAGAACTACAAACCACTGCTCAAGGAAATAAGAAAGGACACAAACAAATGGAAAAACATTCCATGCTCATGGGTAGGAAGAATCAATATCGTGAAAATGGCCATACTGCCCAAAGTAATTTATAGATTCAATGTCGTTCTCATCAAGCTATCATTGACTTTCTTCACAGAACCAGAAAAAAAACTACTTTAAATTTCATATGGACCAGAAGGGAGCCTGTATAGGCAAAACAATCCTAAGCAAAAAGAACAAAGCTGGAAGCATCATGCTACCTGACTTCAAACTATCCTACAAAACTACAGTAACCAAAAGAGCACGGTACTAGTACCAAAACAGAGATATGGACCAATGGAACAGAAAAGAGGCTTCAGAAATAACACCACACATCTACAACCATCTGATCTTTGACAAACCTGACAAAAACAAGCAATGTGGAAAGGATTCCCTATTTAATAAATTGTGTTGGGAAAACTGGTTAGCCATGTGCAGAAAGCTGAAACTGGATCCCTTCATTACACCTTATACAAAAAATAACTCAAGATGGATTAAAGACTTAAATGTAAGACCCAAAACCATAAAAACCTTAGAAGAATACCTAGACAATACCATTCAGGACATAGGCATGGGCAAAGATTTCATGACTAAAACACCAAAAGCAATGGCAACAAAACACAAAATTGACAAATGGGATCTAATTAAACTGAAGAGTTTCTGCACAGCAAAGGAAACTCATCAGAGTGAACAGGCAACCTACAGAATGGGAGAAAAATTTTGCAATCTATCCATCTGACACAGGGCTAATATCCAGAATCCACAAAGAACTTAAACAAATTTACAAGAAAAAAATAAACCCATCAAAAAGTGGGTGAAGGATATGAACAGACACTTCTCAAAAGAAGACATTTATGCAACAAACAAACATGAAAAAAAGCTCCTCATCACTGGTCATTAGAAAATGCAAATCAAAACTACAATGAGATACCATCTCACACCAGTTACAATGGTGATCATTAAAAAGTCAGGAAACAACAGGTGTTGGAGAGGACAGAAGAAACAGGAAAGCTCTCACACTGTCGGTAGGAGTGTAAATTAGTTCAACCTTTCTGGACGACAGTGCAGCAAGTCCTCAAAGGTCTAGAACCAGCAATTCCGTTACTGGGTATTTTCCCAAAGGATTATAAATAATTCTACTATAAAGGCACATGCACACGTATGTTTACTGCAGCACTATTCACAATAGCAAAGACTTGGAACCAACCCAAATGTCCATCAATGATAGACTGGATAAAGAAAATGTGGCACATACACACCATGGAATACTATGCAGCCATAAAAAATGATGAGTTCATGTCCTTTGCAGGGACATGGATGAAGCTAGAAACCATCATTCTCAGCAAACTAACTCAGGAACAGAAAACCAATACCACATGTTCTCACTTACAAGTAGTAGTTGAACAATGAGAACACATGGACACAGGGAGGGGCACATAACACACTGGGGCCTGTCAGAGGGTGGGAACCTAGGGTAGGGATAGCCTTAGGAGAAATACCTAAGGCAAATGACGGGTTGATGGGTGCAGCAAACCACCAAGACAAGTGTATACATATGTAATAAACCAGCACATTCTGCATATGTATCCCAGAACTTAAAGTATATTAAAAACAAACAAACAAACAACTATGGGAAGCAAATTCTCCATTCTTTTCCCATCTAGGAAATTCTGGAACACCTGCACAGTTCCACAGCCACCCTCTTCATGTAGAAGTCCTCGTGTGGCTGCCCTGCCTGGATTCCACACACTCATATCCCCTGCTACCCTCACCCCTTCCTGGGCTGTGTTTATCGACCAGGCCTTTGTTCTCTTCCACGAGTCTCTTGAAGTTGCTCCTTGCTGGGATGGCATGCTTCTTCCTGCTCAAGTGCCACTCAGTGACCCCACATTACTCATCATCCCTAAGAGAAAACACTGAAATGAGAACTTGGATCTACTGTTTCTATTAAGCTCTGCAACATCCCTTCAGTGTTCTGGTGGGAACATAGTTTGATTTTGGCAGTGTGTGTGGGGCCGTTTTATATTTTGATCTTTTAGATAAGTTCTATAATCCATGTAGAGTGTATGCAGCAGATCTTGACAATATTTCAAAACAACTAACAGATTGTATCACCACCATTTATTTCATTATCCCATAGATTGCACTAACAAAGTAATCATATTGTATTAGTTTCTGCTTTTTGTTTTGGTTGTTTTTCTTGGTAGAGTCCTCGATGTGGACCTGTGTTATCTATTTCCTCTCAGTGCCACCTTGCTTGAATGTTTTTACATTTGCTAGTGCAAGTCACTAATTGATTATTTTATTTTTCACAGAGGGCTTGGCTATTCATTCTCATCTTTTCATTACCGTAGATAAATTTCAGCATCAGTATTTTCATTTAAAATTGTCTTCAATGGGCATGATGGCTCATGCCTGTAATCCCAGCACTCTCAGCAAGTGAGGTGGGAGAATGACTTGAGCCCAGGAGTTGACGAAGAGCCTGGGCAACATAGTGAGACCAGATCTCTCCAAACAATTTTTTTAAAAAGTCCCAGTGTGGGGGCATGAGCCTATGGTCCCAGCTACTCAGGAAGCTGAGGCAGAAGAACTGCTTGAGCCAAGGTGGTTGAGGCTGCAGTGAGCCATGATCATGCCACTGCACTCCAGCCTGGGCAACAGAAGAAGACCTTCTCTAAAAAAAATTAGTCTTCACGTTTTTATTAGAATATATTTAAAGTACAACTTCATTTATAGAAAAAATAATAACCTTCTATTATATCACATTATGGTATGACTTAGTCAAATTTTATATTTATTTAAGTTTTTGGTTTTTTTGTATTGGTCCCTCACTCTTTGTATTACAATTTTTCAAATAAATATCTTCGGCTGTTTAGTTTTCAATCTGTGGCCTAATGACTGAATCTGGGAGGCCCCTGAGATGTCATGAAGCTCCCCTGGCAGGCACCACCCACTCCACACCATGTCTACTGCAGCTGCTTCCCCTCCACACGGGCAGAAGTATTGTTGCCACAGAACAGAACCGCAAATAAATATCCAGCATCTCGCACTCCACAGAAAGGTTTGCCAACCCCCGCTCTAGATGAGTTATAATTGGTGTGAAGCACACACTAGTTTTTCCGCATTGTTAATAGATACCCCAGGCTAGGATAAATAACATGGGCCCAGACTAATTCTCTCCTAAAGACACAGGCCAGAAAAGAAAATTAAAAAAAAAAAAAAACCCTATGTGAATATCTACTGATAGTAGGTTAAATGTAAAGTCAAAAAGGATTTATTTTTGAATCACATTTAAAAGTCCTCTTTCCTGTGTCTCCCACTTGCAGCAGCTCAGAGGCTTGTGTGAGCCTGGGAGACTCCCCTGCTGCGAGTCTCACGTCCTCCGACCCTGGCCAGCTGGCTGAAACCACGGTCTCACCTGGGATCTCCTTTTCCTTTTCTTCTCTTCTTCAAGTAAATCTTAACTCCCCAGGTGACAATTTCTACGCCTTGTTTTCAAGCTCTACGGATTTATATTCCCTACCAAGATGCTACGAGGTTAATCACAGCTTCTCAGCTACAGAAAGGACATTCTCATGGAAAAGGGAAATAAGAACGGACGAGGGAAAACTCACTATTTCGCACCCACTCATTTTGATTATCACCAATCCCACACGTGATCCCTTAGTTATTAATAAAAAGTGTACCTGAGCATTTGCCGTGTGCCGTGTGCTAGGCAGGTAAGCACAAAAACTCGGGGACGTACAAGGATACAGGAATACTCGAGGATACAAGGATTCACGGGAACTTAGGGACGCACCAGAACGAAGGACTCACAGGAGCTCAGGGAATCACGAAGGCTCAGGCAGTCAGGGGCTCACGAGATCGCAGAGGCTCACGGGAGCAGAGGGACTCACAGGAACTCAAGGACTCATGGGAACTCAGGCAATCAGGGCAACGCAGGGGCTCAAGGGAACGCAGGGGCTCACGGGAACTAGGGGACTCATGTGAACTCAGGGATTCACGGCAACAGGGGCTCATGGGAACGCTGGGAATCATGGGAACTCAGGGAGTCACAGTAATTCAGGGATTCATGACAAGGCAGGGGCTCACAGGACCTCAAGAAATCACGAGAACTCAGGCAATCAGAGAACTCAGGGACTCAGGGCAATGCAGGGACTCACGGGAACGCAGGGGCTCACGGGAACGCAGGGGCTCACGGGAATGCAGGGGCTCACAAAAACAAAGGTATTCATAGGAACAAAGGTATTCATGGGAACACAGGGACTCACGGGAACCTAGGGATTCACAGGAATGCAGGATTTCCTTTCCTTTGCTTTAAGTGCCCAGTAACAGGATTGCTGGGTCAATTCAGTTTTCAGTTCACTGCTGTGCTGTATTTATAGTTTTCTGAGGAGGCTCCATGCTCTTCTCCACGGTGGCTGTACTAGTTCACGTGTAGTGTACTATAATTTTAAAAGTGTATCATGCATACATAGAATAAGTAATTTAGCATGACAGGATTATTAGGACCTTGTGCTTTCACTAAAGAAAAAAAAAGCACATAAAATAAAATTCAAGCCAGGTGTGGTGGCTCACACTTTTAATGGCAGCACTTAGGGAGGCCAAAGCAGGATAACTTGAGGCCAGGAGTTCGAGACCAGCCTGAGCAACAGAGTGAGACCACCATCTTTACAAAAAATAAAATAAAATTAAAAAAAAATAGCCAGGCATGGTGGTGAATTCCTATAGTCCCAGCTACTCAGGAGGCTGGGGTAGGAGGATTGCTTGAGCCAGGAGGTGCCAGGAGGTAGAGGCTGCAGTGAGTTATGTTCATGCCACTGCACTCCAGCCTGGATGACACGGCAAGACCCTGGCCCTAAAGCAAAGGGAGAAAAAAGAAAGTTCCTAGAAGTCAAGACAAAAAGAATCAGTTATATCAAATTTGAGTAAAATGTTTAAAAATTGTTTTAAAATATATTTACTTGATATGTCCAGAAAATGTCCCTGCAAGCTTTTGGTTTCTAAATACCCAATTAAAATGGTGGATTTTAAAAAGCAATTCCATCTCATTGGAAAATGGGACATGCCATTTCTGCATTCAGCAAAGAATTATGAGAGCATGCCTGAGATATTTTTTTATTATCAAACAAAAGGAGATACCAATTGACAGATTTTAATGGGTGCAGTTCAGCAAGATACAGAAACCAGCTCAAACCTTCTATTAATAACATTTGGGCCAATTTAACTGTCAAAGATAGTAGTTACTGTAACTGATTGTACTGCAGTGAATAAAAATTTAAAGAGGTAGCAAGTGAGAGGAAGAGGCAAACATGTCTTGGTTGCCTTTAAGATCAAAACACCATTCCTTACTGTAAAAAGTGGCGATTCAAGAGAGAATTAATCATTGACCTTGCATTTGAAGAGGAACCACAGTATTTCAATAGTTGATGAGGAAAAGCTAAAGGTCATTAAATTTGTAATAGAAAAATCACCATTTTTCCAGGTTCAATGAAATAATTGACTCAGAAAGATCATCATTAAATGCTAACACTATTAAGTAAAAATTGTTGATAGTATATTTTCATGCTGTCTAACAGTTAGTACTGGCAAACTATGTATATACATATAGTTAAAAAGAAAGCAATCTGTGAGTTACTCTCTTAAGTGAAAAACTCAGCTCATGAATAATGTTACTGCCCAATCTGGTGGACAGTTTCACATTTGAGGTTAAAATTCATGACTTTTGCAAATGACTTTTAATAATCAGCAAAAACAAAACACATGCAAAAATGAAGAAAATATATTAAAATATTTGTACTTGAATATGGATGCTGAGTACATTATTAGACTATTCTTTCAAGTTTTCTGTGTTTTAAAAATTACTCATTTTTACAAATTTCAAGAAGTGCAGGAATCAGTACGTGGATCCAGCACAATCAGATCCTGTTTGGACAGTGCAGATGATGAGTGGGTTTCGGGAACGGCTTTCAGGCAAAAATAAGTCCTTCTGCAGATGTCCCTCTGAGGCTCCACTGTGGCCCTCCTGCCGATGGTTGTAAGTCGTTCTCTCGCTCACCATCTGGCTGGTCCAAGGGCCACAAGTGGGAGGAAAGGCACTCATGCTGGAGCCAGGGGAGCCCGGTCCAAGCCCAGATGCCTGAGCCCTGAGGAAATGGCCTTGACATTCACCTGCTGGCCTCACAGGTCCTCCACTGTCCATCACCT